GATACACCACTGACTAACCCTGATTTAATTCTCTATGTAGATGGATCGGCTTATCGAGACCCGGACACCGGAAGGTCGCATGCTGGATACGCTGTGGTGGACGACCACGCAGTCGTTCTTTCTTCCTCTCTTCCATCGATGTTCTCAGCACAATTGGCAGAGCTCGTGGCGTTGACAGAGGCGTGTGCATACGCAAAGGGACGGTCTGTTACAATATTCACTGATTCCCGCTATGCATTTGGAGTGACGCATGATTTTGGGGCACTGTGGAAACATAGAAACTTTCTAAAATCAGACGGAAAGCCAATTTTACACCACACACATGTTGCAGCATTGTTGGAGGCTATCTTGCTTCCATCTCAGATTGCTGTATGTAAATGCTCTGCCCATACAGGTGCAACGGACTCTGTTTCATTGGGGAACGCTCGGGCGGACAGGGCGGCCAGAGCAGCTGCTAAGCAGCCTCTCCCGGTTTCCTTCTGCCTGCCACATGCTGTCCCCCCAGAGACCCCTCCTCTTTCCCCTCCCTCTCTGAAGGACCTCTGCTCGCTCTCTTCCCCGGAAGAGCGGCGCACGTGGGCGGAGTCTGGTGCTGTTTTTCAAAATGGCGTCTGGATAGGCCCAGATTTGAAGCCATGCCTTCCCAAAAGATTATTTCATTGTTATGCTAAGTTAACACATGGGTTGGACCATGTGTCAAAGGGGAATATGTTTCAAGCAGTGCAACAATTTTGGTTTACAAAAGGGTTTTCTACATTTGCCGCAGAGTTTTGCAGAAATTGTTTGATCTGTGCACAGAACAATCCGGGAAGGCCGAAGCCTCTGACACAGCAGGCAGCCCACCCAGCACCTACAAGACCGTTTGAGCATGTTATGATGGACTTCATCGAATTAACACCCAGTGAAGGGAAAAAATTTTGTCTTGTAATGGTGGATATGTTTTCAAAGTGGGTTGAAGCTTTCCCTGCAAAACATGCGTCCTCCGCTGCAGTAGCAAAAGCCATTTTGACTGAAATTCTCGTAAAATGGGGAATTCCTCAGAAATTGTCCAGCGATAATGGGTCGCATTTTGTTAATGAAGTGATAAAACAACTGTCTGATTATTTGAAATTTGATTTGAAAACTCACTGCAGCTATCACCCACAATCTGGCGGAGCTGTGGAGAGAGAGAATTTCACAATAAAATCAAAACTGGCCAAATGCTGTCAGGAAACAAAACTTAGCTGGCCAAAATGCTTGCCAATTGTCCTGATGTACATGCGAATGAGAGTGCGCACGCGTAACAACCTGTCCCCATTTGAGATTTTGTTTGCAGCTCCCCCCAATGTAGGAATGGGACCTGCGGGACCTCAACCAGATGCCATCCTGTGCGAGGATGGCATGATAAGGTATTGTATAACCCTAACAAAATCTCTTTCTGATATCAGAAGACAGGTGTCATCGGCCCTTCCCCAGCGGGCGGACCATCCACTTCACAACATCCAACCCGGCGACTTCGTCCTGATAAGGAACTTCAAGCCGAGGAGCTGGAATCACCACCGCTGGCTTGGCCCATTCCAAGTTCTCCTCGTCACTCACACCGCTGTGAAAGTCCAGGAGAGGCAGACCTGGGTCCACGCATCGCACTGCAAACAAGTCCCAGCTCTTCTTGCGGAGCGTACGACGGAAGTATAAGGAGGATCTTACCCCCTCCCAACGCGAAAGGAGGGTCTCACACACACACTACCCCCTCCCAACGTAAAACATTGTTAGAAATACATTGTTAGCTGCATCAGGAGAAAAGTGCTGGTAACTACACTCCTAGGTCATAGATGAGCAGAAGATAGGTAACACAAGAAGATCAACAAGTGACAATCCAAGTCCAGGATGCACAACCACCGGGAGCGCGGTCCTTGGCATCCATTCAGGCAGCAGGGCCTTTGCGGGATGAGAAAGACTTTGTGTGTGCTCATGTTCATTTCCTTCCTCATTGTGTTTCCACTGTTATGGTTTGAAGGTCGGGAGCATAAAAAGAACAATCAAACACAGGTCGTTGTCAATTACACTTCTAACACCTCTTCATTTACATCAAAACGTGTGAAGAGGGAAGATGTGGCCGAGATGGATTCTGTGTGGTCACGTGTTTTGGCTCAGTCAATAAATCACACCAGTGTATACACACTTAATTTGTGGTATCAATATGCAAAATTCTTAGCAGAGTCACAAAATCGCTCAAATTGTTACATTTGTACTCATATGCCTATTGCGTCATCAAACCCACACATCACACCTCTACCAATGGTCGATGCATTTACACATTTTCCAAAGATTCTGTTTTCATCTGTCTCTGTTGATTATTTCAATGAGACCGTCACAAAGCGTACAGGTAAATGTCTCCCCTCACTCAAACCGGCTGTTAGTTCTGATTTCTTCAATTATTGGTTTAATGATGAATTAGATCCAATTTTTGGCCCGGTACACATCAAACCTGGTACTAAATTTGTATGTTACACTCTATCCATGACCATTACAGAGTCTCCTGTACAGATGGGACGGATCCCAATGTAATTTTGTTTAAATGTGTCTAATCCGTGTACTTCTTTTCATGGTAATTCAAGTTTAAACACTTCTCAGGCCGCTCCGGGTAGTACATGTGCTCCATACTTCACGGTTCCTGACTCAACAGGGACTAATCCTCTGAAGGGTGTTTTGTGGCTGTGTGGCTTCAATGTCTATGTGAAGCTACCATTTAATTGGATAGGTCGTTGTGCTCTGATGACGGCTTCAGATCACTCTTACATCATCTCTACCTTTCCTAGATCGCGAGGTAAGCGCGATTTTGCTGCTCATGATGCAGTTTGGGGGACGGACGTTCCAGATGATCACAAACTGTGGACCAAGCCAACGAAAGTACTTCTCTCCTTGTTCCCCCAGGTCGGTGTAGGGAAAGTTATGCTTAGAATGGAAACCTTGAATTATCGGTTTTCAAGTTTTGTGAATTCAACTGTAACTATTCTAGAGGCCAACAGGGTAGAAGTAAATGCGTTGCGTGCCATTGCTTTACAAAACAGGATTGTTTTGGATCATTTGGTTGCCTCAAGTGGAGGTGTTTGTGTTTTACTTAATCAGACCGCTTGTTGTACTTATATTCCTGATAACAGTGCCGATGATGGGATCATTGCACAGGGCATTCGAAATCTGACTACCCTGCGCGATGCGGTTAACCGTGATTTCGTTCTAGATGCTTCATGGTTTTCAGACTGGCGAGCATGGTTGGTTCAAATAGGTACTGGACTTGGAGTAATATTAATATTGCTAATAGTGCTGTCATGTTGTGTCATTCCTTTGATCCGTTCATTGATCCGACGTATGATCTCGTCGACACTCGTTCAACACACTTCTCTTAACCTACATGTTGACTGTCTTGATGAGGACAGTGATCCATTTAGTGAGATGTTACTTGATGATTTTGAGTAATTTGTATGTTTAACCCATTTTATGACGGATTTTCTTAAACCCACCAGGTGTGAAAATTTTGATGTTCCGGGGTTTTACTTATATTTTTCTTATATTTTTCTTATATTTTACTTATATTTTACTTATATTTTACTTATATTTTTAGTACTTGATAGCATGTGTGTGATTGATTTAAGATAATCAAAGGGTGGATTGTTATGGCCAGTTCCCGGCACAAGATGTTCTAATCATTTAGGTCGATACATGCGTCTTGTTTCCCAGCGTCTGAAACTGCTTCCCATCACTGTTTGAAACATTAGCACAAAGGGCCTCTTGTTCAGCAATAGCCTTGGCCACCATCTGCAGGTGCGTATCTCAAATGTACTTACAGCGTGTTCCCTCTTATCAAATTCGAAGGTCCTTTTCTGTGCTTAATGTATCTCTCCCAAACTTTCCCGTCTGCAGCCGCGTATGACTCATCTGTCTTGTGACGAATGCTCATTGTTCTGTCTGACACACCTCCAGTATAAGATCATAGGCACGCTTGTTGGGCAGGAGAACAGACACGGCATCGGCCCAGGTCCCGTTTCTGTCTGGCTCATTTCTGTGCAGAAATGTCATTTTGTACTCATCACTTCTGTAAATAAAACTGCACAAAGGCAAGTCTGTTTCCTCTCGGATTTATTTCAATTGAAGCATCAGAATTTCCAAAACATGGAGGTAATGAGGAAGAAGCTAGTCTCAGGTCTCTCCTCTCAGATATCATGGGTCTCCTGGCATCTCTCTCCTTGCATCTCTGCTCACCTCGCCTCTCTCCTCATCAATCATCTCTCTCACTGCTCCACTGCTCCTCTCTCATCTCACTCCTCCTCTCTCCTCTCTCTCCTCCTACTCTTTTCACGCTCTCTCCCTCATCTCCTCTCTCTCTCTCTCCTCTCTCCTCTCCTCTCTCTCCTCATCTCTCTATCTTCCCCCTTCTCTTCTCTCTCCTCTTCTCCTATCTCTCTCCTCTCCTCTCACCTCTCCTCATCTCTCCTCCTTCACTCTCTCTCCTCCTCTCTCCTCCTCCTCATCTCTCCCTCTCATCTCCTCTCTCTCTCCTCTCCTCTCTCTCCTCTCTCTCCTCTCTCTCCTCTCTCTCCTCTCTCTCCCTCCTCTCATCTCTCCTCTATCCTCTCTCTCCTCTCATCTCCTCTCCTCTCTCTCCTCTCTCTCCTCTCTCCTTTCCTCATCTCTCCTCTCTCTCCTCTCTCTCCTCTCTCTCCTCCTCTCTCCTCTCTCTCCTATCCTCCTCTCATCTCTCCTCTCCCCTCTCTCCTCTCATCTCTCTCCTCTCCTCCCAAAGTATTTTTTTAATCTATCCAATTCCTGTGTTCACGGGAAACCGTTTGATTCTCTGATCTGTTGTTGGCGAATTGAAACTTTGTAAAGTCCTTCCGAGACGACTGCTGTTGTGATTTACGACGATACAAAAAATAGATACATTTAATTCATCAAAAAAACACACCAAACCTTGTGCGTAAAAAGTCGGCAAAACATAGTGTACCTGTGATCTGGACGCGTACCTGTGATCTGGACGCCGATGCGGAAGTAGACGTCTGCGTTGCTGAGGTAGCGCTCCACCAGGATGTAGTACCATTGGTCCCAGGCGGGGGCAGCAGAGCTCAGTTCACAGGGGCTCCACTCTCTGCAGTCCAGAGCGCTGGAGTTGTGGACCGGGGGAGCGCGGGGCCTCAGCTTGAGAACCACCGGACACTCACCGCTGCGGTTCTGAGAGCTACAGTTCACCAGCTCCACCTTCACTTTGGACACATGGTTCGGGATGAAGACTCTACGGAAACGGAGACAGAGAGAATGAGAGAGACGGAGAGAGAGAGAGAAAGAGAGAGAGAAAGAGATACAGAGACAGAGAGAAAAAGAGATGAAGAGAGAGACACACAGAAACAGAGGAAACGAGAGGGACAGAGAGAGAGACACAGAGACAGAGAGAGAGACACACGAGAGAGAGACACACACAGAGACAGAGAGAATGAGAGAGATGGAGAGAGAGAGACAGACAGAGAGACACACAGAGAGAGAGAGACAGAAAGAGAGACACACACAGCGGATACCAGAGACCAGAGAAAGAGACCAGAGAGAGACAAGAGAGAGAGAGACCAAAAAGACCAGCGAGAGACCTCAGAGAGAGACACAGAAAGATGGGGTTGAGATTATATACTGTTGAGAAAGACTACAGAGGAACGAAAGAGAGAGACCATAGAGAGACTAGAGAGAGATGAGAGAGAGAGACTGAAAATACCAGAGAGGGATCAAAGAGAGAGTAGATAGATGGATAGATAGATAGATAGATAGATAGATAGATAGATAGATAGATAGATAGATAGATAGATAGATAGATAGATAGATAGATAGATAGATAGATAGATAGATAGATAGATAGATAGATAGATAGATAGATAGATAGATAGATAGATAGATAGATAGATAGATGGATGGATGGATAGATACAGTAGATAGATAGATAGATAGATAGATAGATAGATAGATACATAGATAGATAGATAGATAGATAGATAGATAGATAGATAGATAGATAGATAGATAGATAGATAGATAGATAGATAGATAGATAGATAGATAGATGGATGGATGGATGGATACAGTAGATAGATAGATAGATAGATAGATAGATAGATAGATAGATAGATAGATAGATAGATGGATAGATAGATACAGTAGATAGATAGCAGCGTACTTGTACAGAGCAGATCTGTTGTGAGCCGGGATCAACTGGTCGATGAAGAATCCAGGGTAGAGCACCGAGATCCCGATCAGTCTCTGCACGATGAGCTGAGGCTGGAACAGGTACTGGCATTCCTCAGACAGGCCCTGCAACCACACACACAACACTGACTCAGGCTGTGTGTACGTGTGACAAGCATCAAAATAGGAGAAGAAGAAGAAGAAACAGCGCATGTAAAAGCGAGTCGACTTTTCTTGGGATTTAAAATATATTCTGACATTGTTAGATCTAAGGCTGGGGCTGTAGATCCAGGACTGAGGCTGTAGATCCAGGACTGAGACTGTAGATCCAGGACTGAGGCTGTAGATCCAGGACCGAGACTGTATAGATCCAGGACTGAGACTGTATAGATCCAGGACTGAGGCTGTAGATCCAGGACTGAGGCTGTAGATCCAGGACTGAGGCTGTAGATCCAGGACTGAGGCTGTAGATCCAGGACTGAGGCTGTAGATCCAGGACTGAGGCTGTAGATCCAGGACTGAGGCTGTAGATCCAGGACTGAGGTTGTATAGACCCAGGACTGAGGCTGTATAGATCCAGGACTGAGGCTGTATAGATCCAGGACTGAGGCTGTAGATCCAGGACTGAGGCTGTAGATCCAGGACTGAGGCTGTAGATCCAGGACTGATGCTGTAGATCCAGGACTGAGGCTGTAGATCCAGGACTGAGGCTGTAGATCCAGGACTGAGGCTGTAGATCCAAGACTGTGGCTGTAGATCCAGGACTGAGGCTGTAGACCCAGGACTGAGGCTGTAGATGCAGGACTGAGGCTGTAGATCCAGGACTGAGGCTGTAGATCCAGGACTGAGACTCTATAGACCCAGGACTGAGACTGTATAGACCTAGGACTGAGACTGTATAGACCCAGGACTGAGACAGTATAGACCCAGGACTGAGACTGTATAGATCCAGGACTGAGACTGTATAGACCCAGGACTGAGACTGTATAGACCCAGGACTGAGACTGTATAGACCCAGGACTGAGACTGTATAGACCCAGGACTGAGACAGTATAGACCCAGGACTGAGACTGTATAGATCCAGGACTGAGACTGTATAGACCCAGGACTGAGACTGTATAGACCCAGGACTGAGACTGTATAGACCCAGGACTGAGACTGTATAGACCCAGGACTGAGACAGTATAGACCCAGGACTGAGACTGTATAGACCCAGGACTCAGGCTGGACTTATCCTTGTCCATTCCTATACACAGTCCACTCTCCTTCTCCTTTTCTACAGCCTATGTTTATATATTCATACCTTCAACCTCTAACCGTCTCCACTGTCAGAGGCACTTTGCGATCCCGCTCACACCGGCGATGTGTCGGAACTCGCCAAAAACGGAACCGCCTCAAAACGCCGCCTGAGAAGTTGTTATCTTTCTAATAATAGCCCCGTCGCACGCTCGGCCGCTCCCTCCCCGCTCACCGTCTCGTCTTTAAGTGCCTGCCTGATAAGACCAGGTCCAACACGGCAGGTCACGCATGATCGTGTGTTAAAAAGCATTATTCCTCCCCCCTCTTCTCACTCCCCCGCCTCCCCCCTCCTCGTCTCACCGGAGAGAGGACAGCTAGCGTGGCGTGCCATTAGAGGAGACCAGAGAGACCAGAGCGAGACCAGAGGGAGAGAGACAGAGACATGGAGATGAGATTATAGACTGTTGAGAGAGACTACAGGGGATACCAGAGAGACTAGAGAGGAAAAAAAGAGAGAGACCAGAAAGAGACTAGAGAGAGAGACCAAAAATCCCAGGGAGAGATGAGAGAGGCACCAAAGAGAGAGACCACACGGAGAGATGAGATTACATACAAAAGAGAGAGACCAGAGAGGAGACCAGAGAGAGACCAGAGAGAGGCCAGAGAGAGAGAGATCGAAAATACCAGGGAGAGATGAGCGAAGCACCAAAGAGAGAGACCACAGAGGATCCCAGAGAGGAGACCAGAGAGAGACTAGAGGGAGACTAGAGAGAGACTAGAGAGAGACCAGAGAGAGACCAGAGAGAGACTAGAGAGAGACTAGAGAGAGACCAGAGAGAGACTAGAGAGAGACTAGAGAAACTAGAGAGAGACTAGAGAGAGACCAGAGAGACTAGCGAGAGACTAGAGAGAGACCAGAGAGAGACTAGAGAGAGACTAGAGAGACTAGAGAGAGACTAGAGAGAGACCAGAGAGACTAGAGAGAGACTAGGTAGAGACCAGAGAGAGACTAGAGAGAGACTAGAGAGAGACTAGGTAGAGACCAGAGAGAGACTAGAGAGAGACTAGAGAGAGACTAGGTAGAGACCAGAGAGAGACTAGAGAGAGACTAGAGAGAGACTAGGGAGAGACCAGAGAGAGACCAGAGAGAGACTAGAGAGAGACTAGAGAGAGACCAGAGAGAGACTAGAGAGAGACTAGAGAGACTAGAGAGAGACTAGAGAGAGACCAGAGAGACTAGCGAGAGACTAGAGAGAGACCAGAGAGAGACTAGAGAGAGACTAGAGAGACTAGAGAGAGACTAGAGAGAGACCAGAGAGACTAGAGAGAGACTAGGTAGAGACCAGAGAGAGACTAGAGAGAGACTAGAGAGAGACTAGGTAGAGACCAGAGAGAGACTAGAGAGAGACTAGAGAGAGACTAGGTAGAGACCAGAGAGAGACTAGAGAGAGACTAGAGAGAGACTAGGTAGAGACCAGAGAGAGACTAGAGAGAGACTAGAGAGAGACTAGGTAGAGACCAGAGAGAGACTAGAGAGAGACTAGAGAGAGACTAGGTAGAGACCAGAGAGAGACTAGAGAGAGACTAGAGAGAGACTAGGTAGAGACCAGAGAGAGACTAGAGAGAGACTAGAGAGAGACTAGGTAGAGACCAGAGAGAGACTAGAGAGAGACTAGAGAGAGACTAGGGAGAGACCAGAGAGAGACTAGAGAGAGAGAGATTGTTTTAAAACAGTGGTGCCTTCCCCATCTCTCGTCTCCCCCCTCCCCTCACTTCCTCGTCTCCCCCCTCCCCATCTCACCGGAGAGAGGACAGGTGCGAATGCCAAATAAGGTCATCCATCCATGCGATCGCTGACCCCTCCTGCGCCCGCCACAGTTAGCGCGACGTGCCATTAGTCCGCCGAGGGGCCGCTGGGTGACCCTTTGATTTATTGCAGGCTGTCAGAGCGAGCAGCATGTGTGGAGCTTAAATAAGGACAGAGGGAGGCGTGCGTTGCTATGGTTTCAGAGTCAAGTGTTAGCGTGACATTTTTCTACGGCAAAAAAAACGCAGCAGGCATATGTTCGACATGATGATATTGATAATGATAATCGATTTTATACTATTTGTGCGCTCAAAGATGCTCCACATGTCATTATTCTGTCGCTAAATACACAGTGGTGATAAAATACTACTGTAGCCGCAGCTGCCCTGGGGCACACTGAGTCAACCACTATGTGCCATTGGCCCCTCCCACCACCACCAACCATTCACACACACACACCAGACTCGTTCGGATGTGGGGGAAGTGTCTTTCCTAAGGACACAACCACAGCCCATGTTTAGTCCTGAGTCTGAGCACCAGCAGGAGGCCAGTCCCTGTGCTCCTCAGAGTCCCAGCAGGAGGCCAGTCCCTGTGCTCCTCAGAGTCCCAGCAGGAGGCCAGTCCCTGTGCTCCTCAGAGTCCCAGCAGGAGACCAGTCCCTGTGCTCCTCAGAGTCCCAGCAGGAGACCAGTCCCTGTGCTCCTCAGAGTCCCAGCAGGAGATCAGTCCCTGTCCTCCTCAGAGTCCCAGCAGGAGACCAGTCCCTGTGCTCCTCAGAGTCCCAGCAGGAGACCAGTCCCTGTCCTCCTCAGAGTCCCAGCAGGAGACCAGTCCCTGTGCTCCTCAGAGTCCCAGCAGGAGGCCAGTCCCTGTGCTCCTCAGAGTCCCAGCAGGAGGCCAGTCCCTGTGCTCCTCAGAGTCCCAGCAGGAGGCCAGTCCCTGTGCTCCTCAGAGTCCCAGCAGGAGATCAGTCCCTGTGCTCCTCAGAGTCCCAGCAGGAGATCAGTCCCTGTGCTCCTCAGAGTCCCAGCAGGAGATCAGTCCCTGTGCTCCTCAGAGTCCCAGCAGGAGGCCAGTCCCTGTGCTCCTCAGAGTCCCAGCAGGAGATCAGTCCCTGTGCTCCTCAGAGTCCCAGCAGGAGATCAGTCCCTGTGCTCCTCAGAGTCCCAGCAGGAGATCAGTCCCTGTGCTCCTCAGAGTCCCAGCAGGAGATCAGTCCCTGTGCTCCTCAGAGTCGCAGCAGGAGATCAGTCGCTGTGCTCCTCAGAGTCCCAGCAGGAGATCAGTCCCTGTGCTCCTCAGAGTCCCAGCAGGAGACCAGTCTCTGAGCCACAGGAGCCCGCGCAGAGACCTGAGATCTGGACTAATGTGATGGTACTTCCTGGTTCTCGTCAGTTACAATTACAACCTAATTTGTGTTTCCAAAATCTTACTGTATGTATAAATGTTAATCCTAATCTCTGTTTATCAATGCAATCCACCTGCTGGGGATGGCTCTCATCTGGATCCACAAACTGTGATTGTTGTTATTTAAAGTCCGTTCTTTTGTTTTGATTACACACTTTGAGTTGCCTTGTGTAGGAACAGTGTATCATTATGAAGCACATATGCGTGTGCGTGTGTGTGTGCGCGTGCGTGTCTGTCTGTGTGGTCTGTCTGTGTGTGTGTGTGTGTGTGTGTGTGTACGTGTGTGTGCGTGTGCGTGTGTGTGTCTGCGTGTGTGTCTGTGTGTGTGTCTGTATGTGTGTCTGTATGTGTGTCTCTGTGTGTGTGTGTGTGTGCGTGTGCGTGTGCGTGTGTCTGTGTCTGTGTGTGCATGTGCGTGTGCGTGTGCGTGTGTGTGTATTTTTAGGTTTCATCTTTCACTGGAATATTCTCTTCATTTGCGGTGTCTTAAATCTTTGCCCTTTTCTCCTGAATTCAAACAAAAGTGCATTTAGGCCAAAGAATAGAGGGAGACGTCCCGCTTGAAACCTCGGATAATTGGATTCTGTTAGCTCCTCCGTTCCTCAGAGAATACTCCCTTTTAGACAGAGAGGGAGAGAAAGAGAGAGACCAGAGAGAGAGAGAGAGAGAGAGAGAGAGAGAGAGAGAGACCAGAGAGAGGGAACAAAAAAGTAAGAAATCAAAAACAAAGTTTTGAGCGTGAAGGAGAATACTACCTGACACTGAGACACACACACAGAGACCCCCACACAAGGGCAGAGAGAGAGTGAGAGAGAGGGATGGAGAGAGACCAGAGAGACAGAGAGAGTAAGAAATTAAACAAAAACGAGGGGGATGTTTTGAGCGTGAGGAGAGATAATACCTAAAAAACATAAAACGTAAGACTCCGTAGCCTCTCAGCAATCCCCAAATCTACCTCTACCTCTCTCTCTCTCTCTGGTCCCTCTGGTCTCTCTCCAGTCTCTCTCTCTGGTCTCTCTCCTCAGTCCTGGGTCTACAGCCTCAGTCCTGGATCTACAGCCTCAGTCCTGGGTCTAGAGTCTCAGTCCTGGGTCTACAGTCTCAGTCCTGGGTCTACAGCCTCAGTCCTAGGTCTACAGCCTCAGTCCTGGATCTACAGCCTCAGTCCTAGGTCTACAGCCTCAGTTCTGGATCTACAGCCTCAGTCCTGGGTCTACAGCCTCAGTCCTAGGTCTACAGCCTCAGTTCTGGATCTACAGCCTCAGTCCTGGGTCTACAGCCTCAGTCCTAGGTCTACAGCCTCAGTTCTGGATCTACAGCCTCAGTCCTGGGTCTACAGCCTCAGTCCTAGGTCTACAGCCTCAGTTCTGGATCTACAGCCTCAGTCCTGGATCTACAGCCTCAGTCCTGGATCTACAGCCTCAGTCCTGGATCTACAGCCTCAGTCCTGGGTCTACAGCCTCAGTCCTGGATCTACAGCCTCAGTCCTGGATCTACAGCCTCAGTCCTGGATCTACAGCCTCAGTCCTGGATCTACAGCCTCAGTCCTGGGTCTACAGCCTCAGTCCTGGATCTACAGCCTCAGTCCTGGGTCTACAGCCTCAGTCCTGGATCTAAAGATCCAGCACGGATGGCAACTTTTTGATAGAGTTTTTTTGATTGTTTGTCGCATTTTGATTCTTCCCAGTCGGCGGGGAAAAAAAAATCCACCTGCAGCATATAAATAAATTGGCTGAAATGAAAATCGGCGGGAGGTGAGTCGGACACAATGGGAGCAGAATGGTTCTTTTCAGACACAAAGAGGAGCCAGATTGTGAGATATTTCTAATTATGTGTTTTTTCAGATTTGATTTTTGTTCTGATGGAAAAGAATGTTCAAGGTTTACAGAAGAATGTGTGCGATAATTTACTTCCATTACTCTCTCCCTGGTCTCTCTCTCTGGTGTCTCTCTGGTCTCTCTCTGGTCTCTCTCTGGTCTCTCTCTGGTCTCTCTCTCTGGTCTCTCTCTCTCTCTCTCTCTGCTCTCTCTGCTTTCTCTCTGCTCTCTCTCTGCTCTCTCTCTCTCTTTCTGGTCTCTCTCTGGTCTCTCTCTCTCTTTCTGGTCTCTCTCTGGTCTCTCTCTCTGGTCTCTCTCTCTCTCTCTCTCTCTGGTCTCTCTCTCTCTGCTCTCTCTCTCTGCTCTCTCTCTCTCTGGTCTCTCTCTCTCTCTGGTCTCTCTCTCTCTCTCTCTCTCTCTGGTCTCTCTCTCTCTGGTCTCTCTCTGCTCTCTCTCTGCTCTCTCTCTCTAGTCTCTCTCTCTCTGCTCTCTCTCTCTGCTCTCTTTCTCTGCTCTCTCTCTCTGGTCTCTCTCTCTGGTCTCTCTCTGCTTTTTATCTGCTCTCTGCTCTATCTATCTGCTCTCTCTCTCTCTGGTATTTCTCTCTCTGGTCTCTCTCGCTCTGGTCTCTCTCTCTCTGGTCTCTCTCGCTCTGGTCTCTCTCTCTGGTCTCTCTCTGCTTTTTATCTGCTCTCTGCTCTATCTATCTGCTCTCGCTCTCTCTCTGGCCTCTCTCTCTCTGGTCTCTCTCTCTCTCTGGTCTCTCTCTCTCTGGTCTCTCTCTCTCTGCTCTCTCTCTCTGGTCTATCTCTCTCTGGTCTCTCTCGCTCTGGTCTCTCTCTCTCTGGCCTCTCTCTCTCTGGTCTCTCTCTCTGGTCTCTCTCTCTCTGGTCTCTCTCTCTGCTCTCTCGCTCTGGTCTATCTCTCTCTGGTCTCTCTCGCTCTGGTCTCTCTCTCTCTGGTCTCTCTCTCTCGCTCTGGTCTCTCTCTCTCTGGTCTCTCTCTCTCTGGTCTCTCTCTCTCTGGTCTCTCTCTCTCTGCTCTCTCGCTCTGGTCTATCTCTCTCTGGTCTCTCTCGCTCTGGTCTCTCTCTCTCTGGTCTCTCTCTCTCGCTCTGGTCTCTCTCTCTCTGGTCTCTCTCGCTCTGGTCTCTCTCTCTCTGGTCTCTCTCATGTACATGTTTTGCCTCCACACTGGGCTCACCTTCACTGAGATCTTGCCCTCGTCCTTGGGCAGGTGCGCTGCCAGGAACCAGTCCCCGGGGATGGGGCTGGTGACGTTGAAGGCTCCGGTCGTGCGGTTTGGGAGCGTCCAGGTCAGAGTCACGGCAAACGACGCTGGAACCGCCGTGTCCCGCGGGAACGTGGTGTGAAGAGGGTTTATCACCGGCGGCGCTCCGGGTCGAAAGTACCTGTCAATCACAACACACACACATTAGACACAAGACACCTGCAGGAGAACGCCACATCCTGACAGACCTCTGAAGATAAGCAGAGCAGGGCCTGGTTAGTGCTGTGATGGGAGACCTCTGGCAACACCGGGAGCCACAGTGAGGCGGCTGCAGATATAAAGTGCCAAAACTGCAGTTGTGTCCTTAATAATAATAATGATAATGCATCAGTTTTATACAGCGCTTAGTATGGAATGTCAACAGCAGGAGCACAGGGACTGGCCTCCTGCTGGGACTCTGAGGAGCACAGGGACTGGCCTCCTGCTACTGGCCTCCTGCTGGGACTCTGAGGAGCACAGGGACTGGCCTCCTGCTACTGGCCTCCTGCTGGGACTCTGAGGAGCACAGGGACTGGTCTCCTGCTGGTCCCAGGGTTAGGACTAAACATGAGGAGGCAGTATCTTTTATGCAGCTAAAATCTCAAAAAGTCTTCCTGAAAATGTGAGACAGGCTTCTACTCTCGTTCCCTTGTGTGTGAACTGTGCCATACAAATAAACATGCCTCATACACACACAGAGAGAACCATTACATATGCGTGTCTATCAAACACGCAGCAGGAGACCTTACCTCTCTCTGACGCCGGTTGCCAGATATAAATAGTTTTAATGAATGCAGGATGTAGAACACCGTCGGAACACAGCCGCCTCATCCTGTGTACGGCTGTGGCTCATGAGCGAGGCTATTATTAACAGTATTGTCATGATGTGGAACGTGAAAAGAGCAATGTGTGTGTGTCTCTGTGTGTGTGTTTGTGTGTGTGTGTGTGTGTGTCTGTATGTGTGTGTGTGTCTGTATGTGTGTGTGTGTTCTGTGTGAGTGTGTGTCTCTGTGTGTGTGTGTGTGTGTGTGTGTGTGTGTCTGTTTGTGTGTGTTCTGTGTGAGTGTGTGTCTCTGTTTGTGTGTGTATGTGTCTCTGCATGTGTGTATGTGTGTGTGTATTACTATTTAAAGATGGGACTTTTATTAACATTTATAACAGGTCAGAATCTGCTCCCTGAGTATTTGTTGTTATTGGAGGAATCGACAACTTTGTGATTTTCTCTGATGTTGTGATTCAGAGCGATACACAAATAAATGGAACTGAACCTGATTTATTTCTGGTGTTTGTATCAAAAGAAAGAGTTGAGTCTCCATCTTATCAGTAAACATTGTATATTGAAAGCAAAGGTGTAAAACAGGTCCCTGTGAGTCACTATTTGACTCTTTGAGCTGAGAGCTGATTGGCTGAGAGCTGATTGGCCGAGAGCTGATTGGCCGAGAGCTGATTGGCCGAGAGCTGATTGGTCGAGAGCTGATTGGCTGAGAGTTGATTGGCTGAGAGCTGATTGGCCGAGAGCTGATTGGCCGAGAGCTGATTGGCCGAGAGAGGGGGGGTACTTTCCTTTTCAATTGTCTGAAAAATCTCATCTAAAGATGTGAAAATAAAACTATGATAGAAATTGAAAGTTAGGTGCCCCAGCTTTAACAGCAGAACTACCAGAGCAGTCAATTTGGCGGCTTTTTTTTTTACTCTGCTTTTTGTACCTTTTTGCTCTTTCTAAATTTGTTTATTTTTCATTGTATTTTTTATTGGACTGTGGCCATTTTTGGTTGCTAGGTAACCAACATTCTATGGCAGTTAAAGGCCATTTTATCCAAGGTCCTGGTCCTGGACTGGGGCTGGTCCTGGACTGGTTCTGGTCCTGGACTAGTTTTGGTTCTGGTTATGGTTCTGGTTCTGGTCCTCGTTCTGGACTGGTTCTGGTTCTGGTTCTGGTCCTGGTTCTGGTGCTGGTCCTGGACTGGTTCTGGTCCTGGACTGGTGCTGGTCCTGGTCCTGGTCCTGGTCCTGGTCCTGGTCTTGGACTGGGGCTGGTCCAGGACTGTTCTGGTTCTGGTTTTGAGCTGAGTTTATTTTTTGCCACCAGCAAAAAAGAGCAAGTAGGAGTTACCATAGCAACAGGTATTTAAAGTTTCGTTAAACCTTAAAATATTAAATTTAATAAAAAGTTTTAGGAGAAAAAATGTTAAAATGATCTTTGCACCGGGATTTATGAGATTATTTGTTTTCTGTCTGACTTGGACAAATGAAAGAATAAGATACATAATTGTAGGATAATATTTTAACATTAAAATAAATAAAATAAACAAAACAAAACAAAAACAAACAAACACAAAAAAATTCATAAACAAATGAATAATTAATTAATAAATAAAAATAGTGTATGTTTGTAATACGATGACTTGGACAAATAAATAATTAAAATAAATATACAAATACATTGTAAAAGGCCACTGCACCCGCAACCCGGGAACGGATGAAGCGGAAGAAAATGGATGGAAATGTTTAAGATAAATACAAAAATAGCATCTCAACTTTTTTAAGAATAGCATTGATTTGATTGGGAGCCGTCAAAATGGCCGCTCTCGCTCTCTGAGTTCTGGTGATTTCAGGGGTCAGGGGTTGGGGGTCGGGGGTCAGGGGTCAGGGGTCAGGGGTCTTACACGGTGACGTTGCGGTTGGGGCAGCGGTCCCCGAACGTGCCTCCCTGCTCCTTGAAGGTGATGAGGTTCCAGACGGCCATCATGGAATCTTCCGGAACACTGAAGTGGAACAGCTCCACGCTGGCGAACGAGTTGTAGGCGTTGAGCTTTCGAGGCGTCCGCGTGAAGTACTCAGTGACGAAGAGGCCGTCTGCGGAGGAGGGGGAGGAGAGAGAGGGAGGGAGGGAGGAGGAGGAGGAGGAGAGAGAGGGAGGGAGGGAGGAGGAGGAGGCGGAGAGAGGGAGGGACGGGTGAGTGTGTGTGACATCACAACATCAACATGATCCAATTAAGGAGCCTCTCGTATGACATCGTGGTGGAGAGAGGATAGTTTCTCTGTAATCCAAGGATCAATCCACGTGAAACAGACTCTCTCTCTCTCTGGTCTCTCTCTCTAGTCTCTCTCTGGTCTCTCTCTCTGGTCTCTCTCTAGTGGTCTCTCTCTAGTCTCTCTCTCTGGTCTCTCTCTAGTCTCTCTCTCTGGTCTCTCTCTGGTCTCTCACTTTGGTCTCTCTCTGCGCTCTCACTGCTCCCTCTCTGATGTCTCTCTCTCTCCAGTCTCTCTCTCTCTGGTCTCTCTCTCCCTCTGCTCTCTCTCTCTTCAGTCTCTCTCTCTCTCTGGTCTCTCTCTCGTCAGTCTCTCTCTCTCTCTGGTCTCTCTCTCTCTGATCTCTGTCTCCCTCTGGTCTCTCTCTCTTCAGTCTCTCTCTCTCTCTCCAGTCTCTCTCTCTCTAGTCTTTGTCTGGTCACTCTAATTGGTCTCTCTCTCTCTCTCTCTCTCTCTGCTCTCTCTCTCGCTCTCTCTCTGCTCTCCCTTTCTTTCTCTTTCTGCTCTCTCTCTCTCTGCTCTCCCTCTCTCTCTCTCCCTCTCTCTCTCTCTATCTTTCTGGTCTCTCTCTCGCTCTCTCTCTGCTCTCCCCCTCTCTCTCTCTCTTTCTCTCTCCCTCTCTCTCTCTGCTCTCTCTCCCTCTCTCTGCTCTCCCTCTCTCTGCTTTCTCTCTTGTCTCTCTCACTGTCCCATCTGTCACTCCAGAACGCAGCCAGAACAAAGCGACAGGTGTGCTCTCCCATATTCCCTGCATGTATCACTCATGGGTGGCCCGAGCCGAGAGCCGCAGGATTGACTCTGCACGGATCAGCACGGATCAGATCGCACTGTTCAAGAGGAAATGACATATTCTCTGCGCTACAGGCAGAATCTGCGACACCAGAGGAGAGAAATTACACTTATATCACACTAAGAATATTGGAAATCTGGGTATTTTTATCCAAAGGCACGTCCTCCCTCACACAACATCATGTGGTCGTAACACGGATAAATACTGCTTTTAAAACTGGGGAAACCACAGCACCTGGAGGAAACCTGTCCACAGACACAAAGAGAACATGCAAACTAGAGTCTCTCTGCTCTCTCTTTGGTTTCTTTCTCTCTTGTCTCTGGTCTATCAATCGGGTCTCTCTGGTGTGTCTCCGGTCTCTTTCTCACTGTTCTCTCTCTCTCTAATTTACCTTCCATTTCCACAAGACCTCGAAGTGCTACAAAAGAAAAATGCAGAAAAAAAGAAAATAACAAAAAAAATAACGCAGCATACAGAAGGTCTATATATAGGTGGATCTGTTCTCTTCAATAGTCTCATTCTGAAGCGTCCACAGCTATTGAAGAAGCACCTGATGAAGCTTATCTCCTGATGAGTCCGGAGGTTGATTATGTGCCTTTTCCGCTCCGCCTTCCAGCACTTTAGAAAATTAAATTCATTAAATTCACGACAATGAGCCACTGGTGAAATAGATTATCAGTGCACAGCAGAGAGGAGCGGGTTCTGGCCTCTTCCTTTTCATCAGACAACTCAAGATCTTGGAACATTTGTCTCAAACAGAACGGGAACGTTAAGATCCTACTCTGTGGAATCAGCTCCTCATCCACGTCCAGGAAGCGGACACAGTCTCTACAAATATGGAAAAATATCTGGTTTCTGATATGTGTCATGCCGGTCCTCTCCTGTCTTTCTCCTAGTGTTCTGCCGGTCCTCTCCCTCTCCTGGTGTCGTGCCGGTCCTCTCCCTCTCCAAGTGTCATGCCGGTCCTCTCCCTCTCCTGGAGTCATGCCGGTCCTCTCCCTCTCCTGGTGTAATGCCGGTCCTCTCCCTCTCCTAGTGTTCTGCCGGTCCTCTCCCTCTCCTAGTGTCTTGCCGATCCTCTCCCTCTCCTAGTGTCATGACGGTCCTCTCCCTCTCCTAGTGTCATGCCGGTCCTCTCCCTCTCCTAGTGTCATGACGGTCCTCTCCCTCTCCAAGTGTCATGCCGGTCCTCTCCCTCTCCTGGAGTCATGCCGGTCCTCTCCCTCTCCTGGTGTCATGCCGGTCCTCTCCCTCTCCTGGTGTCCTGCCGGTCCTCTCCCTCTCCTAGTGTTCTGCCGGTCCTCCCCCTCTCCTGGTGTCATGCCGGTCCTCTCCGTTAAAACGGTTAGTGTGCGCTCACTTACTGCTCGCTATTAACTCGCGGCAAATTGGTGTCATGCTGTTCTAGCTCCGCACGCTCCGGTAAAACTCCTCTTTATGGACGCATTACCGTCTGCACCATGAGCCTGGATCACCGCGAGGACCAGCATGACACTAGGAGGAAGACAGGAGAGGACCAGCATGACACTAGGAGATAGACAGGAGAGGACCAGCATGACACTAGAGGAAAGACACGAGAGGACCAGGATAACACTAAGAGATAGACAGGAGAGGACCAGCATGACACTAGAGGAAAGACAGGAGAGGACCAGCATGACACTAGGAGAAAGACAGGGGAGGACCAGCATGACACTAGGAGATAGACAGGAGAGGACCAGCATGACACTAGGAGAAAGACAGGGGAGGACCAGCATGACACTAGGAGATAGACAGGAGAGGACCAGCATGACACTAGGAGAAAGACAGGGGAGGACCAGCATGACACTAGGAGATAGACAGGAGAGGACCAGCATGACACTAGGAGAAAGACAGGAGAGGACCAGCATGACACTAGGAGAAAGACAGGAGAGGACCAGCATGACACTGGGAGAAAGACAGGAGAGGACCAGCATGACACTAGGAGAAAGACAGGAGAGGACCAGCATGACACTAGAGGAAACACAGAAGAGGACCGGCAGAACACTAGGAGAAAGACAGGAGAGGACCAGCATGACACTAGAGGAAAGACAGAAGAGGACCAGCATGACACTAGGAGATACACAGGAGAGGACCAGCATGACACTAGGAGATAGACAGGAGAGGACCAGCATGACACTAGAGGAAAGACAGAAGAGGACCAGAATGACACTAGGAGACAGACAGGAGAGGACCAGCATGACACTAGAGGAAAGACAGAAGAGGACCAGAATGACACTAGGGGAAAGACAGAAGAGGACCAGCATGACACTAGGAGATAGACAGGAGAGGACCAGCATGACACTAGGAGAAAGACAGGAGAGGACCAGCACGACACTAGGAGAAAGACAGGAGAGGACCAGCATGACACTGGGAGAAAGACAGGAGAGGACCAGTATAACACTAGGAGATAGACAGGAGAGGACCAGCATGACACTAGAGGAAAGACAGAAGAGGACCAGCATGACACTAGGAGATACACAGGAGAGGACCAGCATGACACTAGGAGATACACAGGAGAGGACCAGCATGACACTAGGAGATAGACAGGAGAGGACCAGCATGACACTAGGAGAAAGACAGGAGAGGACCAGCATGACACGAGAAAGACAGAAGAGGAACAGCATGACACTAGGAGAAAGACAGGAGAGGACCAGCATGACACTAGGAGAAAGACAGGAGAGGACCAGCATAACACTAGGAGAAAGACTAGAGAGGACCAGCATAACACTAGGAGAAAGACAGGAGAGGACCAGCATAACACTAAAGGAAAGAATGCTAAAATGGTTAAAAGTGTATATAACTTTATTATTAAAATACAGCAGAAAATAATCTTTTTGTTTTCAAGTTTGGTTGTTATGGCAACACACATATATTCTGTATCTAACATTATCTGAATTTTGAATCAATATGAATCAATCAATCATTTCCTCCACTGATCCATACAGACCTATCTTGTCTCAGTATACATACAGACCTCTGTCTCAGTATACATACAGACCTCTGTCTCAGTATACATACAGACCTCTCCTGTCTCAGTATACATACAGACCTCTGTCTCAGTATACATACAGACCTCTGTCTCAGTATACATACAGACCTCTCCTGTCTCAGTATACATACAGACCTCTGTCTCAGCTCCTTACAGAGATAAACACATTTGACATATTCATATACAATTCTTTGAGTCGTTTGAATAAAGCAAACACACGTCTCGGTAAAACACACAAAATGATTCACAACTTTCTGAAGCGACAACAGAAGAATCTAATGTATGTTTACGCTGAAAAGAAGAGCTTCTGAAAGTGGAATCATTTATCATTCCTAAAAAACCTTGAGAAAATAAAATAGAAAAAGCAGATAGAGAGTTCTGAAGGATGTTTGAGAATTAGTTTATGGTCTATAAGATTAGACAAATATAAAAGTGCAGATTTAGGGTCAGACACACTCAGATCTGAAAACTCCTCACTTTGGTTCATACATAATAATAAAGTCACAACATTATTCTTTACTTTCATTTCTATTCTCAGCTCTGACTGATGTGACTGAGACTTTAAGAGACTCTAAGAGACATAGATACATCTATCTATCTATGTCTCTATCTATCTATCTATCTATCTATCTATCTATCTATCTATCTATCTATCTATGTCTCTATCTATCTATCTATCTATGTCTCTATCTATCTATCTATCCCATCTATCTATGTCTCTATCTACTTACTGACTTACTGACTTAAATGGATCCAAACAAATCAACAAATCTTACTGCTTCTCCTTCGATTCCCGCTCGTTTCTCGCCGCCCCGATCTCTCTCTCTCTCTGTCTCTATCTCTCTCTCTCTGTCTCGCTCTCGCTCTGACAGCCGCTAACACAGACATCACGTTCAAAGCTCCCTCTCCTCCATCTCCTCCGTCTCCTCCCTCTCCTCCGTCTCCTCCCTCTCCTCCGTCTCCTCCCTCTCCTCCGTCTCCTCCCTCTCCTCTCTCTCCTCCCTCTCCTCCATCTCCTCTGTCTCCTTCGTCTCCTCCGTCTCCTCCGTCTCCTCTATCTCCTCCCTCTCCTTCCTCTTCTCCGTCTCCTCCGTCTCGTC